TTTCAAGCGAAAGTTTAAGTGACCGCACAGTACGAACGTTGCCAGAATATATGTTGTATAATTTTATCAAAAAATTTTTCTGTACTAAAAAATGCCTGAATTCTATTTAATTTTTTTCCAAATTTTTGGAGTTCTATTTAATTTTTTTTTTTCGAGTTTGTAAGAATCTTTTTGACTTCAATATTGTTACAGTTCTTCTTTTTTTCATTTTTATGAATTATTTCCGTTCGGATCTTTTTGAACTTTTTTCCTGATATTCTTAAATATTTATATTTATGCGTTTTTTTCAGTGCAAAATTAATACCATGCTTGTTTCCGTTTGTAGAATAAACTACATTTTTGTAAAAAAGTAAATTTAAATTTAAATTTAAAGGTCAAAACTTAAGAAAAAATAGTGTTCCTAATGATGTTGCCACCTTTGTATGAATATACAAGCTCTCAAACTGCAATGTGAACAGCACAAATTAAACAAACACTATTGGCTGTAAGCAGTTCCGGCATGCGCCTTAAGTTAAGTTTTCGCAAATCGCAGGGCCATTAACAATGGCTTAAACATGGGCGAAGCCCGTTAGCCTGTTGGGCCCTGCGATTTGCGTTCACACACACGCGTGTGGTGGTGGAGGTGGTTGTGTTATTGGAGATCTTTACCGTGGAAAATTTTTATCGTATATTTATACTAGTTCTATGATTTAACAAATACAAACACAATTGGAATGCTATAAATAGAAATGTGATAATAAATATTCATTCATAGTTGTTTTATATGGCAAACGTGCCGGGTTACAAATACTTAGGACCGGGAAATAAATTAAATAAGGGTGATCCAATTGACGAAGTTGATTTAATAGCACAAATACACGATATCGACTATGCATTAGCTCAGTGTGGAAAAGACATTAGGGAGGCAGATTTAGAAGCAATTCGACAATTTCATAAAATTGAAAATCCGTTTGATTTTGGAAGAATTTTGGGAAAATACGGCTTAATTGCAAAATATGGAATTGAATCGATTACTGGTGTTTTATATGGAGGAGGAAATATGAATAAACAGCGTGGAAAAAAAAAGAAATTTGGGACAATTATTATACGCTGAAAGGCAAAGACAAGTTCATCGAAAATTTAATGAATTAAAATCAACTGGAAAATATAAAACATTACAAGAATTTTATAAAAGTGACGAATATAAAGAAATAATAAAAGATTATAGTACAGGTGGTTCTTCGTATAAACGAATAAGAACTTACTTACTTGATGATATACCATCTGGATCAAGAAATCCACCAACAACAGAAGAACCCATTACAGATTTACCAAGCGCCGACCCCGGATCAGGATCCCACGACCCCAGATCCAGTACGCCCGTTGATTTTGAAGATAGAGACGACGATTTCAATTGGGATCATTTCCTTGATAATATTGATAATAGTCTTAGTAGCGCTGATTTGGCCAATTTGCCTGAAGTATCGAGTATGGATATATCACAAGCTGGTAGTGGTAGGGGACCGAATACAGGTGCTAGGGGGGAGGCTACGGCCCCGGCGATGGGAGCGTCGTCAGGCGGAAATGGAGGAAGTAATTCCTCTCCATGGTTATCAAGGGCAATTCCTAAACGTATCTCTAACTTAGAATTCAAAAAATCTCGAATAATGTATAGCTATGGATTGGCAACAGAACGTTTAGAGAATACAGAAAAAACTATTGATATATTTTCTACATCTATGGCTTTAATTCCGGTTGATTTTTTACCTTTTTATATAAGTCAAGCAGAATTTGCAAATTTACCGTTTGCTTCGAAAATCGAATCTGTTTGGTGTAAAGTTTATCCATTGGGAACACGAACTGCCTTTGATACTGGTACAACATTATCTGGTACTGCTACATCTGAATATGTTCCAATTGGTATGACTGGTGTTGGATTGAATTTAGACTTTTATGGTCAAAATGTTGAATTATCAGGCGAAAGTACAAAACCAATGATACCGACGACAATTAAAGAAATGTCTCCGTCAAAGATGATTAAAAAATTTTATGAAGACGATGCTTGTCATGCTATGGGTGTACCGCGATCAATTTCTGAATATTTTACAATTCATAGAAACAAAGACGCAAATCCTGACGCAACAAAATATCCGCAATATCAACATAATACGCATGGTATGGTTAATTTTGATAATAAAATTAATAAATTTTTAGTAAATGGATTAATTAACCAACCAGTAGTCGATTATACATATACTGTTAAAAATGGAAATATTATGAACGCAAAATATCATGTTGTTCCGCACAATCGCAGATCAGATCTTTATTGTACGCATCATACACGCGGATCCAAGAATAAATTGGAATTTTATCATTCGGGAGATGGTCCAGCTAAAGGTCAAGTAGGATTTGGAGGTAAACGTGGTAGCGTTTCACCATTAAATAATATGATTGCGAACGCATATTTAAGACAACTAGAAATTTATGGTTGTTTTAATATATACACTGGAGCAACTCCATATTTTGCTCAACCCCAAGTGCATGTGGGATTATGTGCTACACCGCAATTGAATCCATCGAATGAAGACAAGAATTTTTTAAATTCGTGTTGCTATTGGAAAGTCGATTGTGGTATCACAATTTCGAGCCATTCACATTCAGCGATGACAAAGGGCGAGCAAGTTAGTTGGCCGAGAGAAGTTCTTTTCAAAGAGAATGCAGATTATAAATATACAGATGGTCAAACTCTATTTGGAAGTGCTGTTTCACCAACTGGTAATCTTTCTAGTATGCAAGATGTACTTACTGAATATGAAATTATATATCCACCACAACAAAGAAGAAAATAAATAAATTATTATTAATTTTTATTTAAAATGTATTTTTGATATAAAAAATATATACATAATGGATGGGGCTTTTTTTTAAATTCTTTCAAATATGAAGCTGGTCTCCAATTAAATTGAAACATTCTTGATCGAAACGCTTCACTTTTTGGAAAAATATCATTATTAGATAAAATAATTACAGGAGTACGCATAATTACTGCGTCTCCTTGATATTTTATTTTTGCGTTGCATGTATCACCGCCTAAGATACATTTTAAAGTTTCAGATGCAGATGGTTCCATCATGGGCTCATTCCAAAGTATTATACGTTTATCAACACATTCCATTAAAGGAAATGTACAATACCGATTGAAATTACCCATTTGACCATAATTAATGCAATAATGCACTACTGCATCGAAAAAATAATTTTTACCAGAATTTGGCGGTGATAATATAAATATACTATTTTTTTTTGGTATTTTTTTTATCTAAAACGTTAAAAAGAATATAATAAAATTCATAAATTTTTTGTGCGTTATTGTTAAATTGATAAGATATTAGATTATCTAATATTTCAATAGATTTCTCTAAAGAATAATAATATTTGTGAATATTACAATGCGATGCATTAAAAATTAAATTCTGTGGATCTAATTGAAAAAAATGTGTATACAATTCGGCAATACTTAAATCATTATAGAAAGATCCATGTATTCTCATAATATTTAACATTAATGGACTTATTCTATTAAAAAATTTCCATTTTGAATTCAGCCAAATTGATGTTGAGTATATATGCGATAATGGACTTATTGCGTATTTTTTGAGCCAAAGTAATAATTTTTCGGCTTTTCCGTCTTTTTCGTCCCCTCGATATTCACTATTTGTTTGGCTGCATTCTTTAGGATCTTTTGTATTGCTATATAGTTCGGATCGAGAGGCGAACTCGTTAAGAAGGTTGTTCGCACTTCGGCTTCCTTCCACCAATTTTTTTTTTCCAACTTTACAATCTTGGAAAAATTGTACACATCTAATTTTATCACATGGAACGCAGTTTCGCCCGGCGATGTCCATTGTACAAATTTGTCTTGAGTCCCTCTCGCAATAGATTGCGAGATTGACCCAATGTTCAATGGAGTACTCGATACTGGGNAAGATGTCCTGTCTCTGTTACCGACTTCATCCGGGCTACCACAATCATTACTATTATGAGCCACATTATCTGAAATATGGTGACAATAAATATTATTGCGTATTTTTTGAGGCAAAGTAATAATTTTTCGGCTTTTCCATTTTTTTCGTCCCCTCGATATTCACTGTCTGCTTGGCCGCATTCTTTAGGATCTTTTGTATTGCTATATAGTTCGGATCGAGAGGCGAACTCGTTAAGAAGGTTGTTCGCACTTCGGCTTCCTTCCACCAATTTTTTTTTTCCAACTTTACAATCTTTGAAAAATTGTACACATCTAATTTTATCACATGGAACCCAGTTTCGCCCCGCGATGTCCATTGTACAAATTTGTCTTGAGTCCCTCGCAATAGATTGCGAGATTGACCCAATGTTCAATGGAGTACTCGATACTGGAAGTAGTTCGTCGAGAAAATCTTCTCCCAACACTTTTTCTTGCCTTCCATCGTTCAATGATTGAACAACGGCAGGCGTAATTATGGTAGGTACAATCGTGGATGACGTGGTAATGTTCTTCGTGGTCACAGACGATGAACACGGCTCCTCTATGCTTTTCTCGTAGGTCTGAATAATTTTCTCTACCAAAATATTCGGTAGAGGCTTTTTCATATATTTCGTGTACAATTCGTCTTTTTGGCACAAATTTACGAAAGCCTTGAACGAAAACCTCTTTAATTCTATCGAATTCGCTTTGGCCTTCTTTAATACACTCAACATCAATTTCTGAATAATGATAACCTGGCGTTTCATTTCTAAATTCCTCTCTTTCACATAAATTCGTTCTACTTTGACTAAGACTTCTATTATCACTTTCAAAAACATTGAACTCCAAATTAATTCTATTAGGTCTATTAGTAACATTGATTTGTTGCTGTTGCTGCACCCAGCTTGCGGTTCTTGATGTTCTACTACTATCTCCTGAGAAGGCAACAGAGGATCTTCTGACAATTTTTGTCCTTCGGGTATCATTACTGTCACCGTTTTCCTCAGTTGAACTTCCTGACCTGGTGGAATCTCTTGGCAATCGTCGTCGCTGTCCCTTTCGCTGCTCGAACATTGTCCCCTTGGAATTAATACTTTCGGTGTTTCGTCCTCTGATGACGAGGAGCTCATCATCATCCGTGAATGATCTTGCAACATATCTTCGGTTTGAATTTGATTCTTGTTGCGTCTTAAAGCTTCCTTCGAGGATTTCATCGTTCGCACCATTTTCGCCTGTTGAGGAGTAATTATATGAACAAGTTGACACCGAGTAAGTATACGAATGCGATTTAATTGTACTTCCGCGCACAGAATTAAGTGTTCTACTTTCTAGCTGTTCGTCTAAGAATGACATTTACTTGAGCTTTCTACAAGCTTATATTTATATGAGAACAGTTGTTTATATAAAAATTTCGTTTCAAATATCGTATGGTAAAGATCTCCAATAACACAACCACCTCCACCACCACACGGGTGTGTGTGAACGCAAATCGCAGGGCCCAACAGGCTAACGGGCTTCGCCCATGTTTAAGCCATTGTTAATGGCCCTGCGATTTGCGTTCACACACAATATATATATATATATATATATATATATTTTAGTGAAGGATGACATAAGAAATTTACACCACTTTTAAACAGATAAAAAAAAAATAAATAAAATTTATGCTACCTTTAAAGTGTGTACACGGCTTTATGAACAAGGAAAGCTAAGATATCGTATATTACCCATAACAAAGCGAGAATGTTGGGAAATAAATTGAACATAACAATTTATTTTAATAAGGATTAATAAGTGTATTAGCGTTTACTGTCTACAGTAAAACTACTTATTATTGATTAGACGGAGAAATATCTCACATCGCATCTTAAGAGATGAGACAAGGATTAAATGATAAAATTTAGACTATTAAGAAAAATTATGTATTAAACAACGAACTAATAAACCATTTTAGATTTAGAAATCATACGGCTAAACCTCGTATATAAAGTACTACAAAAAAATAATAAAAAAACGTTTTGCCACATACGAAGACATGGAGTTTAAAAACGTTTACGTTTGGTTAAAGTAAAAAAACTATACAACAATCTTTCAAGGGGATAATATATTAAACAAAGTGTTGTGTTTATTGTAAAAACACGTTTTATATTTCTTCTCTTTATTTTCTCGATTACAGCAGAACTTATTATTACACGTGTGTGTAGCTACATGGGGGCGTTCACTTCAATAGTATTTGCACATGAGTGCGTTTACCAAAGTAGTAATTTGTATAGGAGCATGTACGTACACAGTATATAACAGTGCGTATTCACGCACAACGTATATAACACAAAGCAAAATAATTTATACACCAATAAATATATAAAACTAGCAATTTCCCGGCGTGCTTCGCTGCGCCTTAAATGTATTTTTGTGTTGTAACTCTCCCCCTAAGCTCTTATGGCCTCATTTAAAAAATATTTTTAAAGAACTTTATGAAGTTAGATTTAAAATAAATCGATCTATGAAGCATTGTTTATTTTTTTTTTACCGATAAAATATATTTGCAAAAATTTATAGTCATCATTGGCAAATGGTAATAGCGAGCCTGCTCGATGGTATATTTGTCCCTGAATCTATAATGTTTGTGCAATGAAATTGGATGAATGATTGGAATATTTAAAAATGTCAAATGTTTCACTGGAAATTCAATGCAAAATAGATAATCACCTTGAATGTCGGCATAAATGTAACTCTAATGATCTTTGTGGCACCAAAAGAAGTCATTTGAAAACATGAATTGTATGCTTGAATGTTGTGCAAAAAATGCTTAGATGTCGGCGATTCTCAAGTGAGCAAGGAATGTAATGGTTCTGGTGGCGGTTCCAATGCAGGCAGTTTCACTTTGCCACCGGAGCAGCACATGCCAGCTGTTTCTTCTCGAAATTTCGCTGCATTGCAATGCGTACAAATAATATCCATTGCTCCAATGGAACCATGCAGGCTGTAGTCGCAGTCAGGATCGTAG